TGGAAATATCAGGATTCACAGTTATTTGTGGTTCCAGATGAAATGATTTATAATGTCATTAGAATTTATCATGATGATTTGGGACATGTTGGCATTGATAAAACTATACACGGTATTATGAGCCAATATTGGTTTCCATGTCTAAAAGTGCGAGTGAAACAATATATAGAAAATTGCGTAAAGTGTTTAACTTACTCTTTATCACAAGAAAAACATGAAGGCGAATTGGAGATTGTCGAGTTTTTCGCTACTATATCTACTACTACAGAAGAAGTCATTTATAATTTGACAAATCTTTTCAATTTATTTGGATTTCCAGAATGGGTGATAAGTGATAGAGGTACAGCGTTTACTTCGAAAAATTTTGCATTGTTTCCCAACGACAGAAAAGTAGTGTCTTGACAGCGGTTGCTTTGCCATGGGCAAATGGTCAGATAGAGAGAGTTAACAGATTCCTTAAATCTACTTTGTCAAAGCTGATTGATACTCCATCCACTTGGAAATGCGTTCTAGGACAAGTTCAGTATGTTATTAGTAGTACTTTTCATAAAGCGATAAATAGTACGCCAAGTAAATTGTTATTGGGTTATGATCAGCGTCAAAATTCTGATCATGAACTGCGAAAGTTTATTGAACATTTAACACAAGTAGATTTAGATTTAGTACAGGAGCGACTAAAACTGCGAGATTCAACTCAAGTTGCAAACCGTGCGATGTAAGAATACAATAAGTTAAGATACGATGTACGGCATAAGAAACCGACACGATACAAAGAAGGAGATTTAGTACTAGTGAGGATTTTGCAACATGCACCAGGAACTAATCAAAAGTTACTCCCAAAGTATAAAATATGATGGTTACAGGAATTTGGCAAAGCAAATTAATATTAAACCCTTTATTATACAAAAAGAAACATACAGTCGTGCTTGGGACGAACATGTGCACTGGACAAGTGTTAGCTCGAGACTAAGAAAACTATATGTAGATGTAGAAGACGAACTTGAGGTGGCAGCACTTAGTTAGCTTAACAATCCATAGCATATAATAGTACAGGTTACATAAATACTTTAACACCACCCCTTAAACTGTATTACCGAATATATATATAGTATCATGTACAAAGTCCGATTTTATTACACATATCCTTGAATTTAACTGAGTTTAGCGGCTCTGTAAATAGATCACCTAACTGATCCTCAGGACGTACATGCTCAATACTAATTTCACCTTCTTGATACAATTCGCGAACATAGTAGTAAAGAACTTCTATATGTTTGGTTCTTTTGTGAAACTCGTGGTTTTTCGTTAATTTTATTGCACTAGCGTTGTCAATAAATAGCACCGGTACTCTTTTGTCATCCTTGACCTCGTTTAAAAGTCTCTTAAGCCACACAAGTTCCTTAGCACCTTCACTTGCGGCAACGAACTCTGCTTCCGTAGTTGAGAGAGCAACTGACTTCTGTAACTGAGAAGTCCATGAGACTGCTGTTCCACCAATCAATGAAATAAATCCATTAGTCGATCTTCGTGTGCTTAAACCATCGGCAAAGTCTGCATCTGAATAGGCGTAAAGCTCACCACTTGCAAACTTATAATTTAGGCCAAAATAAATGGTGCCACGTAAATACCTAAATATACGTTTAACAGATAACCAATCTAGGATCTTTGGTTCAGCCATTGATCTAGCAGCCCTTGATACTGCATAAGCGATATCAGGGCGAGTGGCACATGCTAAATACATCAGAGACCCTACTGCTGAACGATACGGAATAGAGCTATCAAGAGCACCATTTTCTTCCTTATCCGTATGATTTTCTGCAGGTGTTTTTGATGAATTACAATCAGCCATACCAAAACGCTGCAGAATCTTTTCAACATAAGCTCTTTGTGATAAGAAGTATCCATTTTCACGCTGCTGAATTTGCATGCCTAAAAACGAGTCTAGTGATCCTATGGTGATTTTAAATTCCAAAGTCAGT